TCTTTGGATCCCGATACTCCTCAGCAGCCTGTAGAGGATGATCAGGATAAGCAGGATGGTGTTCGTGTCGCTGAAGCAGTTACTGCTTCTTGGTCGAAGAAATCTCTGATTATTACTTATGCCTCGTGAGTGGCTTGAAGTGTGTTCCTTCCGAGCGACTGCTAAACAGTGTATAGCATGTGGCTTCTGTACTTCGTCAATGGATTGAACAGCAGCTTGACCGCGAACCTTTCCGCGTATATCACCAGTGACTTTTCGGAGCACTCGTTGCTCACTGTCATCACTGTCATTACCAGTGTCATGGGTGCTGCTTGTGTCATGCCTATCGCCAAGGTGCTGAACTTGTGGGATCGTACTTTAGGTGTCTGCATCATGGTGTTGATTGCTATCATGGGCTTGATTATGATGGCTGGCTGCAACAACATTGCTACGTACTGTGCTGCTCAGGTGAGTTCTATCCTCTGTGTACACGAAATTGCTCTTTTAATGGGTATGCCCAATAATACTAACCACCAGACACTACTAGGCATTCTACACTGTCGGTTTCACCGGTGTCATCTTCTGTGTCGATGTGATGACCTCCGATACATCCTCGCTCCGCAATCGAGGTATCGCCTACGCCTTCACCTCCTCACCCTACATTATCACTGCCTTTGCCGGCTCTCCCCTCTCCAACCAATTCCACGAGACCAACTGGCGCTGGGCGTACGGAACCATTTGCATCATCCTCCCGATCGTCGCAATGCCTCTAGTCATAACCTGGGAACTGGCGAAGCGCAAGGCAGACAAGGAGGGACGCCTGGAATACAAGCCGCGAAGCACTCGCACCTGGTGGCAGAGCACCTGGTTCTACATCATCGAATTTGACAGTAAGCCTTCTCCCCAAAATTCCTCTACTACCTCAATTCCCCCACTAACATGCTCCTCCCAACCAGTCATCGGCATCTTCTTCATGATCGGCGGACTCATCCTCTTCCTCACCTCGTTCAACATCGCCGGCAACACCGAAGGTGAATGGAAATCCGCCAAGATTATCGCAATGATGGTCGTCGGCTTCTTCGTCCTCGTCGGCTTCGTCGCCTACGAACGCTGGGGTGCCCCCAAGCCCTTCATCCCCTACCACCTTATCGCCAACCGCACTGTCATCGGCGCCTGCCTCCTGGATATCACCTACCAAGTCTCCTACTACTGCTGGGCCAGCTACTTCACCTCCTTCCTGCAAGTAGTCTACAACACCAGCCTCACCCAAGCCGGATACATCGCTGCTATCTTCGACCTCATGGACCCCATCTGGCTGATCGGCTGCGGATACCTGATCCGCGTCACCGGCCGCTTCAAGTGGCTGCTCATGTGGGCTGTCCCGCTCTACCTTCTGGCCAGCGGCTTGATGATCTACTTCCGCCAGCCCGGCTTCAACATCGGATACATGTGCATGTGTCAGATCTTCCTGGCTGTTGGTGGTGGTACCTTGATTCTTATTGAGCAGGTTGCTGTCCTGGCGGCATCTAGACATGAAGATTATGCTGCTATGCTGGCGTTGCTGAGCACATTCGGTAACCTTGGTGGTGCTGTCGGTGCTAGTGTCTCTGGTGCTATTTGGACTAATACCCTTCCTCAGAAGCTGAGGGAGCTGTTGCCCGCTGAGACCAAGGATCAGTGGGAGGAGATTTATGAGTCGTTGGATGTGCAATTGAGTTATCCGGTGGGGTCTGAGACGAGAATTGCGATTCAGAATGCTTATGCTTGGAGTCAGCGGAACATGATGATTGCGGGTACGGCGGTCATGGTGCTGTCGATTGCGTGGGTGTTGATGATGAAGAATATTAAGATTAAGGATAATAAGGATGTGAGGCAGGTCCTGTTTTAGATGGGTTGGTAAAAAGGGGTTTTGTATATAATGTGTTTGGGGTCGGGGATCCGCTTTCTTGACCTGTGATGTTAATTTTGAGTTGTTTTTGCTATATTGAGGCATGCATAGTTAGTACTTATTAATACACGAGCTTGACTGGGTTGATAGAAGATATTCTTCGCTTATGGAAATGAACGTTTAGTCACTATACTTGCTTCTTGTTCAGTTACTTGCATCACGCATTGCAAATCACACCATACGGCACCGACTTCTGTATATCCGCTGTATTTATCTTCATGGAACATCGATAGGTATGGATCGCGCCATCCGGAGCAACCCTATCCCAGGTGACACCCTGACACTTCGAGCCCGCTATTACATTATTATACCACTCGCATTGCTGAATGCAATTGACCAGCGAATCTGCTGTAAAATCGCTCAAGGTTTTGTCCGATAGGTCACCTTGGAGCAGCCATATGTCAAAAAGCAGAAGTCTGCATACCCTGTGCCTCTGACGGTAAGAGTTATTCCAATCAATGAAAGGCATGTAGATGCGAATGTTGAGGTAGTAGTAGTCCAAGTGGGCGGAGTTTATGACATGATGGGGGAGAGGAGGTCTCAAGTATGCGACTGAAGAATATATTGGCATCATGTTTAATGATGGGGTCTGAATAAGCTGAGTATGAAGAGTAGGCCTTGTATTCAGAGTTACATCAGGACTTTTGACAAGACTGAGCCTTGATTTCAGAATTGATAGATCATGTCTGTAAGCAGTAGGATGTACAAATGCTGTGACTTGCCGCCTGAATTATTGGGTTTGTGTCTCTTCTACTTGCGGAGCCATGTGGCTCAAGATGTTGTGATGGGAAGAGAAGGTTCTTTCTGAATATATATTCCGAGTCGAGTGCTGTACAGTTCTATCCCAATGAGTACAACCGCCTTCAAATACTTTTGCCTCGGAGTTTGTGAGGGTTCAGACCCCACAGTTACTTATATATAAACAGACAATTTGACAAAGAGTTGCTCCAACCACAGTCAGAATCTGAAGAGAATCCCGGTCAATGACCGCACCATAGCGCGTCTTCTTACCAAAATTATCAACACTTATCCTCTAATGGGCCTGCCTGGCATAGCTGCTGTTGCGGCCATAGTTGCAACAGGATCAGTGGCCTTATACATGGCGTCATTCACCTGTACAGCGCACATATCTACAGCCAGCACTTGCATCCATGCTATGGTTACTACTACGGTATATATAAAACAGCTATGCATTGTGCCAGCCATCGCTAGAGCAGCCTATATAACAGCGAGACACAATTTTCTGTACCACTGCATCATGACTGGCCCTCAACCCCTGCCAATGACCGATAGCTTTCCAGAAAAATATGGGAAGCAACAGGCAGGGCCACACCTAGGGTCCAGCAGCTGGCGCTCAGCAAGGCGGAAACAGATCGACATCGTATTCGCTCTCAATAAGCACATAAAATGGGGCTAGATCGAATGCTCAGCCTTACGATCAGCTGGGCATTCTCCTTGCAGATGAGCCTGGGAATGGATTTGCGCCTCCGGCACATTCTCGGATGCCACCGCCAGGTGGTACCCTCGAATTGAAAATGATGCTACAATCATCTCTACAAGTCATAGTTCTCTACCGCTACGGCGGATGTTATCTTCACTGACGGCTTCATAAACAGTGTTACTGCTTGGCCCCCACCTTGGCATCAGCAGACACAAGAAAAGCCGACCGGAAAAAGGCCCTTGTTGACTAGCTTGGTCCCTTATACGAGCAGCTATTCCACGAGAAGTATTCCTGCTAGATGGCCTCAGACATCTCACAGTTGCTAGCGCGACAAAGATGGCGGTGTTAGTATTGCTCACCAGTACGGCATCAGGGGCTATCCAGAATGGTGCCTGGAATGGTAGTTGTTTTTTGGTGGTATTTCCATGCAGGTACTCCAATAATGTATTCGAACAGAAATATATTTTCGTTAATCGCAATGCCGTGTTTGGAGAGCTCTTCATAAAATCGGTCGAAAGGGTGACGCGGCAACCCCTATATGAGCATATGTATCTCATCGAAACGGACATGCTAGGATTAGCTCGCACACCGATTCCTCTAGAACTTACCGGAAAAGCGGACATTTAAACGAAGCAAGCAATCGGAGCCGGGGGCCAGAGTGTTCATATACGTACGGCGCGAAGTTGCAGCTCAAAAATGCGCAACGATTGAGTTTAATTGCGGCTGCAAGGGCACAATGGTCCCTTGGTTCCTGCACCGGACTAGAGAGGACTAGCGGGATAGGCCGGAGTTTGGCGAAGCGGTTGAGAAGGAAATGCGAGAGTCATTGGGGCCACCAAGTGGATGATGAGTGGATGCAGCGTTCGCTAGTCAGGAACGAACCAGTGGAGTTTGTCTCTCTTTCTGCCGGCTCTCCTTTCCGAATCTGCTGCCATCCCTCCCATCAGGGGTCTTTCACCGTCAGCTTCAGCACTGGCTACGGGATACCAACACAGACTATCGACCGCTAAATTCCGAATCACTCAAGTTTCAGATGGTCTCAAAACTAGAATCTCCAAGCCAGGGGGCAGTGAGGAGGAACGGAAGCGTGGTGAGTGTGTGAAATGAAGAGACACAAAGGCATGGCAACCACGGCTCCCAAGAGCCACAGCCGAACGGTTGTGGAGGAAGAAATCTTCAGGCGACTCCAGCTGACCACCACTAGAATTCAGGAACCGAAGCCAATCCAGTGTGCTGCTCCTCACGCCGCTGCGGTTAGTGAGTTCACTAGAGCAGACCGTATCCTCGGCCAAGCACCGCACACTGGCGATCGTCGCTTGAAAAGGAGTCAGGCACACACCGACCGGGCCTCAGCCAGGCGCCGCCAGCGCAACAATGGATGTGCTGGCGAGTAACGTGGCCGGGTGATTTGTTTACCGACTGACGGCGTGTCGACGTGAACAATGCCCCCCGTCACATTCTCAATGGGCCCCAGGCCAATAGGCAGGCGAGACGTGCCCCTTGCGACTCGTCAAGCAGTTTTTCCGGGGCAGCGCTCGTGAGGGTTCGAGTTTGACTGGTTGGGTCCAAACGGACCCTCTGGCACTCTGGGGCTCATATTTAGTCCACCCCCCCTCGTCCTCCTTTTTCCCCCTTCGGCGCGTCTTCAGACATCGCATCGTTTCACAACCCTTTGACTCGAGCAGCGCTCCCCACGTTCTTTACCCTCGCTAGCTTTTGCTCTTCTCGACGCTCACTCTTTTGCGTCTTCTTCGTCACTCGTTTGATCTACTCGCGCAGTCTCTGTCAGAGCCTTTTTGCGACAACGTACATATCCACAGCCCGAAAATCTTTCAATTGAACAAATCGGAATTACCGGCAACTCATCGCAATGAAGTTCAGCACTCTCGCCTCCTCTGTCCTGTGCCTGATGGCCTCCCAGCTTGTCGCTGCGGAAACCGACACCACCAGTACCTCGACGGTGACCAACTATGTCACCGCGACGCTGGTCCACGTCGACACCGTGACCTCTCCTAGCAGCGTGGCACCTTCGACTTCCTCGGTGTTCGTCACTCCGAGCAGCCACGCCGTCTCGAGCAGCCGGGTCGCCAGCAGCTCTGCCGCCGCCAGCTCCTCTGCGCCTGCCTCTTCGTTCGCCTCCGTCACCGTGACTTCCAGCACCCCCGCCGGCACCTCGGTTGCTGCTGCTACTTCCCCTGCCGTGGGTACTTCTGGAGCCGACGGCATGGTCGCCAAGATGCCTGCTATGCTGGTTGCGGGATCTATGGCTCTGATCCTGGGCGCGCTCTAAGGCAATTCAGCGCTGCCGGCTTTGTCGCATACTCTTCACGCGCTGGAACCTTGAGAGGAATGGTTTCGACCATGACTCGATTTATCAAACATTTTTATTCTCTGCTTCGATCGCCTATATTGATTCTCCACGGGACATTGTGATCGACTATGCTCGGAACAATGGGCCTATCTACTACGGATACTTTCTTGATTATACCCCTTATGATGTTTCGGATTTGACGAGTTGATGGCTTGACTGCTGGTGGAATACCGCAGTTGGGATGGACTTTATTTCTACCTTTTTTTTACTTTTTGACTTCGCTTCGGGGTTCGGCCGTGATGGAAGCTGTGCATAGTGTTTGTATAGGGTCGACCCAATCAATTGCGTGAACCGATGTGCCTTATGCTGGTAGTATGTAGATAATCAATAATATTTACACCTGATGAGTACTGTAATTGTATCAGTTTTTTTCCGCTTTCAAGACTTCTCAACATTGATCTAGATTAAGGATTCAACGAGAGAAGGATCTACATACAATAAATGAATGAGATTGCATGAAGAGCAAAAGAATTAAACCGAGCAGATCCGGGCCTCCCGGGTAGCTATCAATCAATATCAATCAATCAATCAATCAATCAGTTCACCGTCAAGTTATCAAGCGGATACCGACCGCCCCGCTCCACCGCGACGCGTCTCGTAAACAACTCTAGTCTCAGCACCCAACATCAATCAGAATCCAGCATTCTCTCTGGACCTCGACTTTCCCCATTCTTCCGGAACTCTTCCATCCATCCCATCCGACGATCGATCGACATTCCACACCGGACGTCATGATCCGAGTGAGGTGATCCAGCCCAAAGCCACTGAGCGCATCAATACCATTCATTCATTCATTCATTCCCCTCCTTACTTCCTTTGCATCGCATCGCATCGCATCGCGTCACACGAGATATTCCAAACAAGAAATACATGCCACTACATCACATTATTGCACAGCAGTGGCAAATAATAAAATATGGACCACGAAATCCCCCTCCCCCCACCACCGCGCATCCGCCATCGCGACCCCTCCAACAACAACAATAGCAATAACAACAATAACAACAATAACGCCCGTCACGCGACTCGCCATGCTCACCATCACCGCCTCCCCTCGCGCTTCATTGACGACCGCTCCAGTCAACCCTCCAGTGACCCGGCACTCTTCTCCAGCGACGACATCCCCGCCTCGGGTCTAGAGAACTACAATAATGCGCCTGTTAGTCGGAAGCGCCGGTACCGCGGCACATGGTGGGGAGAGATGGTGAAGGACAAGGACGCGAAGCGCAAGCGGGCGGATTTCAAGGAGAAGCGGTTGGTGGATAGTGGTGTGTGGATGGGGAGTGATGATTATGATTCGGGTCCGGGGTCGGGGTTCTTGCCTTCTGATGCAGATTTGGGAGAGGATTGGTTAAATTCGCATGCGAATGGAGGTTCAAAGACGGTGATGCCGCAGAACCAGACTCAACAACAAGGATTCAGGAAAGTCGAAGAAGAACCGCGCGAGCATCAAGTCGCACGGGGGATTGTGAACGATTGTCTCGAGAGGGGAGAAGATAGCGTCGACTTGAGGTATATTCCCCTACACGTCCACCTCTATCATCCAGAACCAACATCTAACCCATACCAATAGTGGCCTCACCCTCCGCATCATCCCCCCTAACCTCCTCCACCCCCTCCAACACCTCACCAAGCTCCCCACCATCAAAGAGCCCCCCATCAGCGAAGACGTCTACACCTCCCTGCAACCCTTCCTCCGCCTCTTCCTCGCCGGCAACGCCCTCACCCAAGTCCCCGGTCAAATCTTCGACCTCGACTCCCTCCGCGTCCTCAGTCTCCGCTACAACAAACTCACCTCCATCCCCGCGGCCATCCGCCGCCTCACTCTCCTCCAGGAACTCAACCTCTCCGTGAACCGTCTCCCCACCCTCCCCTGGGAACTCCTCTTCCTGATCCGCAAAGGCGACCTCAAACACCTCACCGTCCGCCCTAACCCCCTCCTCCAACTCGAAGACCAGCCCATCGCCAAATGGCACGTCCCCAGCGACGAAGAAACCCAAGAACCCTGCCTGAAATCAATCACCTACGACGGCCCACCACCCGAGGAAGCATGGGCACCTATCCACATCGCCACCGGCCCAGTCACATACTACAACGCCGAAGGCATCCCAGTCCCTAGTACTGAACAAACCCCCACCAACCACCAAACAACAACAACAACCAAAATCTCCCGCGTACCCTCCCTCCGCGAAATCTCCCTCCTATCATTCACCCGCTCAACCTACCCCGACCTAATCACGGACGAAGAAATGGACAATTTCCCAGCCCTAATGACCCGCTTACTCCGACAAGCAAAGGAAGTTCGTAGCGCAGGAGGGCGGAACTGCTCCTCGTGTCATCGGGGATTCGTCCTCGCGCGGACGGAGTGGATCGAGTGGTGGGATGTGAGTACGTATGAGAATGGGTTGAAGGGGCCGAGGGCGTCCGGGGAGGTGTTGAGGCCGTTGCCGTTTAGGAGGGTTGGGTGTAGTTGGGGGTGTGTGCCTGATTTGGTTCAATAGCTGAGAAAAAGATTTAATTAGATTAAGAAAGGAGGGGGAGGGGAATTGTATAGTTTGGACTGGAGTGTATGTATGTGTATGTATATGATTATGTTTTTGTTAGGGGTGTAAGTTTATAGTGGTAGTATGGTTTTGTTTGTTAGGAATATGGGGAATGTGTATTGTTAGGAAGGATGTCATCTACTTGGACAGCATAAGTGGTGTTGAAACACCGTAGTGTCACATGAACGCAGCTTTAGAGTATGACAGCCATGGGGTCTGCTTCTATGAAAGGTGCAGTTTGTCTCTAAGATACTTGCAACTCATGTCCAAGGCAAATTCATACGTCCTAAGCATCGATGGGAAATAGTCAATCCCACTGACTTATGGTCTAGTATTATTACAAGCGAGTGCAGAACTGAAACTGAACCTGTTCCTGCCAATGTCGCTACGAATTCCATAAAATCCATCAAACGCCAACCAAGCAAGGACGGTGTCAAAAACATCGCTAATGCTGCTCACAAAAGGAAACGCTGCAAAGACAGAATACCCCCACCTCCACTAACACATACATCCAATGAAACCAGGGGCAGTTAATAATATAAAGCAAGACAACGCAGTTCACCGGCTGCCGTCCGTCTGCGCCTGATGCCAGATCGTATCGCCACTAAGAGCAGAGTAGCTCAGTGCGGCAAAGTTCCTCCAACTCGGTGGTGCAGAGGATGCTTGTCCCTCGAGAAGGCCTGCTTCAGAGCCAGCATGCCGCTCGAGATCGGAGGTCTCGTCTTCGCTCACTCCGCTAATCGGCACCGGCGCTGAGGATGAACTATGCTGAGAATCTGCGTCAGGGTGGTATTCTTCCTCGTTCATCGGCTCTGCCGACTCGTGAGCCTCCGCCGCTTTGTTCTGCGACATTGACCGAACCACGTCGCCTTTACAGATGGGACAAGTTCGCCGGCGGGTTGTCAGCCAAGGCGTGCTGCAAGATCGTTAGTACGAGCATGATTGACAACGGACTCAAGGATCGTTACTCACATGCACTCCGCGTGGAACTCGTGGCCGCAGGGCAAACTCATCACCCTGCTCTGCCCATCCACATATTCCTCCAGGCACACAACGCATTCCACTTGCCGGCCGGTGTATTTCCGGCGCCACAGAGTGGATCCCGATTTGCCCTTCCTTGATGACGACATTCTGGATGCACTCGCATTCGAGACATGTGACTCTCGCTGCGACCGAGACAGCTGGGCTCCTGAGCGGCTCTTCGCACCCAACAATGGCGAGGTTGGCGACACTGGACCAGGGCTAACAGATCGTGGCGAGCTTGTTTCCGAGGAAGAGGTGGACCTCGCAATAGTGTGATAAGTTCGCACTGGGAGGCGATCAACGAGGGACTTTGGAGCGCGCCACCGTCTGCGCCGGATACGAGACCGCAGCAACAACAGAACGTAGACAACAGTCAGTGTGAGCAACGGGCTGACAACCAAAACGAGGAGGGTATCGAAGAAAGGACTGGTCGACATGCTTGTGGGCGTGAGAGTGACCCACAAGCCGTCGTGTTCAGCCGCATTCACACCTTGGCTGTTCTGATTTGTCGCATCATGCAGCTTCTGGTCTACGGAAGTGATTTGCCCATGGGCGCTAGAACTTGGGCTCGGGGCTGGCTTGTCCGCTGCCCAGAAGAAATGCCTGGCAAACCAACCGTTGCGCTGGGAAGAGGATCCTGGTTTCACATCATCATACACAGACTTGTGGCCGGAGTACTCCATCTTCGACTCTTTTTCAATGCTAGACTTCTCGACTGTGCGATACTCGCCACTTCCAGGAGTGATGCTGCCACCCTTCAAGGTCGCGGGAGTGGGGTGCGAGCCCTTGACGCCAGTATGCACCTTATTCCCGGCGGCGTCGGTTGTACTGGTAGGAGATGGAAGGATGCTGCCCTTCGGAACTACTAGGTCCGGATCTCTCCAGTCCTGCACTCCAATGACGAATCCATCACCGTCTGTACTGCTCGACGAGGTACCTGACTTTTTGAGGTCTTCGGCAACACCATCGGTTTTCGTTCGGGAGGTCCTTCGCTCGGTCTCGTCCTGTGATGGCTCCTGTTCGTCCCAGCGATCTAATAGAATCCAATTGATGTTTCCGCTGCTTGGCGGGCGACGGCTGTCCTCTGGTGGATACCAGACGGGTCCACCATGATTGCTGAGACCGAACAATGACAAAAGAGCGTGGAAGAGCCCAGGTTTCTGCTTTGGAGGAACCGCACTGTCATGAACTACTGCTTTGTGACTTGATGTTGGCGACGCAGTGGCAGAGGTAGTCGCCGTGGCGTCCATGCGTTGTTTCCCGGCACTGCCGTGAGTGGAGGTTTTAGTGTGAGTTCCCGATCCATCGTCTGCGGCCGAGTCCTCCCCTTGCGGGGGGACTAAGGATGACAGCAGATGTGCCGTAGTATGAGATGTGAAGAGGGCGGGGATCGTCACGTTGGATGTATCACCCCGTGCATACATCGTGACGAGGCTGCCTCCTCGGGTGTCATCCCCCACAATCAAAGCAATTCCTCCACGCCGCTGGACCCACTTGACCTTCTCCAAGAAGCCACAGCCGCCCCTACTCAGAAGAACGACTTTGCCATCGATCTCGGCGCTTTCTTGCAAAGACTGGATGTCAGCATGGGCAGCTTGTCGGTTCGAAGAGGGCTCCCCGTGCTTGTCCATGGCGCCTGAGTCCGACACTTCTGACTCGGGCAGCGGGTGGTGGAGATGATCATCCGTGCCGTCATTTGTGAACGGGGGTGCCACTTTGGTACCAGAGTCATGCTGCAGGTCGATATCCGGCTGGGGAATCGCTTGGCGATGGCTTTGTGGCACGGTCGGCTCGTTTCCAGGAGTAGACGCCGACTTCCCAGTTGTAGTATCTGCACCTCCGCCTGACTTCGGACCATCTCCCTCACCCCAACCCGGGATATCGGAGCATCCTAGCTCCCCTTCCGCCCCAGCGGTTGTTCGTTCCCCAAAGCCACTACCGATCCAGAGTTGCCCGCTAAGTCCCTTGTCCGGCAGCAGAGGGCCAAACGCAGCAGGTCGGGCCAGGAAAAAGGTGGAGTTGTCATCGGTAAGGCTGATGATGGCGGACGGCGGGAACAGGGATGAGGGGATGTTGAAGGAGAAGAGGGCGTGTAGACCCGTCGCTCGACCAGCGAGTGAATCGGGGGTGGACACCCTAGGCGAGGAGGTTAAAGCAGAAAAGAAGGTGAGGATGATGGGGAGGAAGATGAGGCAGAAGACGACAGCGATCAAACGTGGTGGTCGCATAGTTGAGAGGGTGTTGCTGGAATATGCAATAGAACAGATATTGCTTGGCCGAGGGGGTGGGCGGGAAAGGAAAGAAGCCCAGGAAGATCAACGCTCAGGGCCAGCGGGTTTCGTGCAGGAAGGCGATGTTCTTAGGACCAATCAGACGGTCGATGAAGCGCAACAGAACGGACACTCATCGAGAGCGCACGGGAAGGGAGAAGGAGGGTAGGCGCGAAGGAACAAGATGATAAGGAGAGTGAGTAAGTAAGTAGTAGTAGTAGTAGTAGTAGTAGTTAGGAAGTCGTCGTGGTCAAGCAATGACGGGCTGGTACTTTAGAAGCCAACCAGACAAGGATGACGGGGAGAGAAGAGGAATAGGGACATGGACGGTAGTAGTAGGATTGTAAGTAGGGAGAAGGGGATGGAAATGGGGATGGGGATGGGGATGGTGGAATGGGATGGATGGGACGATGTGGAGGAGGAAGAAAGGCAAAAAGAATGATCAACAACTTGTGAGCGAGTCGCCGGACACGCAAGCACAGCCTCTTTTTTTCTCTGTCCCCTCCGTGTCTCTCCCTCAGGTAAGTAGTAGGTATTAGTTAGTTAGTTAGTAGTTTCTCTGTCAGACAGTTCTGGCTTGGGGGGCAAGTCAGTCACGGGATTGATTCCCTGCCTGAGGGAGGGGAGTTCCCTTAACTAATTGATTAACTAGTTAGTGGCTTCCTCAGGTTTTGTCAGGCAACCGCCATACCTTTTCACCCCTACTATCTACTAGTTATCTCGTACTACAGAGTACTACGTCACAGACCCTGCGCCCGTGCATTTTGGGCTGGGCTGCCCAATTCCATCAGCAGTTCTTCCATTTTAAAATTTGACTTAAAAAAATTAGATAGTCTATGATTCGTGACTCTTTCCCTTTCACGAGACCTTTTTATTATTATTATAATAATTTATTGTATTTCTATATGGTGTGGCGCATGGCAGCGTCTTTTAGTTGTGTCACACCCTCCTCCCATTTACCATACAATACTGAATACTACTTCCTCAATTTAATTTAAATCCACAGTGTTCTATTCTTCCCCCCCCCGCAGATCAATGAAAACTGCCTTCCCGTCATTCCCCACACCTGCGCAATATTCACTGTCGACTTCGACTTAAGTGCTTTTTCTCATGGGTACACAGTAAACCGATCGACAACGCAGGGGGTCCGTTTCATGTACCCAGGAATGTTGTATTTGTAGATGTCGAGTCAATGAGGGACCCCCACCTAACCACTCTGTAGAAACAGTGCTAACACGGTCTACCTGTCTACCTGTCTACAAACTATAGTTCACAAGTGTCATTCCTGTCGCTTACCTGATCATCATCCACTTCATGCTCCATCACGAACCATAGATCACGTGCTCCAGAAAAAAAAAGAAGCAGTCGTCTTCATCACTTCTCCGTGAAATCTAGAACATCAGCAATTCTCGGTCCTGTGGGACTGCAAGGAAACAAGTGGGGTTCATTTGTGGCGTGCCATCCGGGGTTCCGTGGCTTGTGCTGCCACGGCCAACCCCATGGTCTGGATGAAGCTGTCTCAATGGCATGACGTGGATGACATCTTGACACTCGCTTTCCATTTCCTCCATCATCCCACACCCATTAGCTTAGTTTCTGGTACAAACGTCATCCCCCGCAGGTGTTCGTTCCATTTCATTGTCTTGCCCTTTGTCGTGACAAGCTTGGGTGGCTTCCAACCCCGCCAGACGTTCACAATGGTCTTGGACTTTATTTGAACGTGTGCTAACCTCGCAAGACATGCCGTATCGGAGCATTGCTCACATATTTAAGCAGCTTTAGTGATTATCACCTTTCTACCCAGGACTCATCAAGATGTCGAATCTCATGCACAAAGTCAAAGATGCCTTGACTGGCCATCACAACAATTCCAATTCCCGTATGAATACCTATGATCTTATCTATGATTTTCCTCTACTCGTCTGCTAACTTGAACCCGATTTAGGCAAGGGTCATAACAAGCCCAGTACCGATGACTATAACTCGGGCGGCGGAGAGAGATATGGGCCTGGCGATGGTTCCTATAACTCTCAGCCCAGCTCTGACAACTATAATTCTGGCGACTACGAGCGCAGGACGGACACATACGATTCGGGAACCGCTGGGGACTACCGCGGCAGCTACGGATCTCAGTCTAGCACACACGACTATGGTAATACTGGTGGTTTTGGTACTGGCTCTGCAGATTATAGACATGAACCGGAGAGATACGGTGGCTCAGGAACTGGCTATGAATCGCGGGCTATGGACAGTGGAGCGATGCAAGATTTCGGTGGTCGTACAGGAGGCAGCAGCTACAACACCTACAGCCAGGACACTGAATCTTCTGAGTTCAGCCCTACCACCAGGCTAGACTCTGGCAAGATGGGATACCATTCGATGGGCCCTGGTGGTACACAGCGGAATCAATGGTAGAGGCACTTGCAAGTATCATCAGTCTCATGCAAAGGTTGACTTATCTATTACATGTGTATGTTGGACATGTGGTAATTTAGTATGTGCGGAATAGTAATCGGGTTTCGTCGAAGATACTGCGTAGTCTGAGAGTTGATTTGCATATATTTACTTGACATCTGGCTTCGACGCTTGTCGTAGCCATTCTGTGAGTGGTTGGGCAGCCATGGACATCAACTACATTTCAGTGCCTGTGGGGCCTTCAGCATGGAATGTGTTGTTGTCTTGACAGAAGTCATGGTGGTTTGGCAAAGGCAGAGGCAGCGGCGTAACACAGCAAACCCAGCAAACTGGACAGTTCAAACAAGTGAATGATAGCACTTCCCGAAGTGGGCAGGTACGCTTCGCAACTCACAATGTGCAAGTGCGTCACGTCGTCTGCATCTCCATGGCATGACCCCGACGTCTCATCGTTTTTTTACTAGCTTCTTCGTTTCTTTCAGCGTCTTGTCCTATTCAGCTGTCTAGCACCGTCGTTCACCAGCGAAACTTCACCATGGCGTCTCGTCGTCTACTCTTCACCAGACCGTCCACCGCGTACCGAGACGAAGACCATGAATTTGACAACTACCAGGATCTAGCCTCCTCTCAGCCAGTACCTTTGTTTCAGCTCTGCACCAAGACAGGCTCGAAAAGAGGCGCCAAAACCCGAAAGCTTCTATCAGAAATGTCGTCAAGCAGCGAACCGAAAGAACCACGTCCCATGAGCCAACAAAAGGCCTTATCTCATCTCTCAGCCATGCACCGTGCAAATCAAGCAGACCGTCATTTGAGCATCCCCGCAGAGTCCTTCACGCCTTCGCGTCTTGAATCGCACGGATGGGAGAGCAGCGATGATGGCCACTTTCAACGTAATCCTTTGAGTTATACCAGATCCTATGAGTCCTCCTACTCGCTGGGTACTCCTCTTCGTGAATCTGTCTCCGAGCATACCTCCTTGGACCTCTATGGAGCAAACTTTGATCGAACCTATAGCCAGTCCCCATACGAGTCCCTGCGAGTCCAATCCCGTCTTAAGCGTCCTGAAACCCGGATTACATCTGGCCTGGAGATCTCGGGTCCTGGGGCTCAGTATTCAGTTACTCATTTGGAGCGCGGGAGTACTCTTGAGCTGGAAAGGGAGGAGAAACAGCGCAGGTTCAAAGAAGAGGTCACCGCGCTGCTCAAGAACGTTGCGCAAAAGCCTGAAAGCCCCAAACTCGACAATGAGCAGTTTCTGGTCCATGAAAACGCTGGGGAGACCAAACCAGTCAAGACTCATGCGCCACAGGAGAGTCAGGTATCCGAGACCAAGTCTACCAGTACAGACAATGTGTCTCACCTTGACAATGACTCCACCGCTCAGGACAGCATGTTGAGAACTCCTCCCGGACTCACCAGACCCGTTAGAGAAGCAGAAGCGTGGTTCCACAAGGATGGTCGAGGACACAAAAAACTCCGCCAGCAAGTGAAGGGAATCGCAGAGAACTGTGCTAGTGAGAACGAGAAACAGACGACACAGCTACTAGGTGATGTAATCATCAATCTCTATTCCTACGTCGCCAAGGATCGAAAGAAGCAGGCTGGCAACTTTGCTGACTGGGGAAACGTGGATCCTTATTACTGTTCACCCAGCCAGGACGGCAACCACAGCTACTTTGACTACTGAGCCTGTTTGTGTATGTTAAGGTGGCTTATTTCATGTACCATCAGTGCGAGCATGTCCTATCTGAGGAGATAAATAGCCTACAATATGTATTATAAAGTGGATGAGCGAGGCTAGCTAGCTAATCGAAAATATCATAAATATGTTTACCATAAGTATAGTTATCGCTCGGAACTAAATATGTCCCAATGGGGTAAGCCCCACTTAATGGATACAGTAAGTAGCTAGCTAGCTAGCTCCCGACGACGTCACCGCCATCCAAAAGTTTCCCTCCGCAACACCTCCCCCATGAACAAGCACCCTTACTATCACCAACCACATTAAACCCTCACACCAACCATGAACAAAATAACAGGAGCTCTCATCGACGAAGCAACCCACATCCGGGCCATCGCCAAAGATGTCGTCCTCTCCGGGACATATTTCTACCCAATTAAGGTGCGCCACACACAGCCACCCATCATACCCCCATCCTCTATACCTACCTACTACACAAACCACCCCATTACTACCTCCCCCCAATTCAGAAAAAACTAAACATAATGAATAAATAGGGAATAATCTACACCCTCAACCGCCCCACCCTCCGCCAACCCCTCCTCTCACGGTCCTCCAAAACCCTCACTCTGGGCGTAGGCGTCACAACAGCCATGTTCTTCTTCACCTACGTCCCACAAGCAGCCATCATGTCCATAACCAGTGGACCTTTACTGGCTCCATTCTCCGCAGCATTACTCGTCCTCAGCGAATCCTCCACCATAACCACCTTTCTCGCGCGGTCGTTCCTCCTCGCGGACGCTATCACTGCTACGTTTGACGCCACGCTCGTGGAAATGGGGCAGGAGAAGCTACTTGAGCAGTCGGGAAAGAGAGGCAGTGGTGGTGGTGATGATGCTATCTCCCGCTTCGGGGGCAAAGAAGAAGTCTCGGAAAGACAAACGAATATGTGGAATATGTTGGTGAGGAGTGTGGTGTTGCTACCGCTGAACTTTGTGCCTGTGGTGGGAACGCTGGTGTATGTTTATGTGCAGGGGAAGAAGGTCGGTGAGGGGGTGCATGAGCGGTGGTTTGGGTTGAAGGGGTGGAAGAAGGCGGAGAGGAGTAGGTGGGTGGGGAGGTGGAGGGGGAAGTATACTGGGTATATTAATTTCCTTTTTTTCTTTCTTTCTTCCCTTGGAGGGTGGAGATGTGATGACTGACGACTAGGGTATGTATAGGTTCGGAATGGCGGCGTTCGCGCTGGAAATGGTCCCGTTTGTGTCGATTGCGTTTGCGTTTACGAATACGGTTGGGGCGGCGTTGTGGGCGGCGGATTGGGAGAGGGAGTTGCAGTAGGTTCATATTGTGAAGGGGATAGGATGTGGGTGTTTTTGGGGGGTGAGTGGAAGGTGAAAAGTTTAGTATGATATTTTTATGTTGTTGTAACTATTGTATGGTACTATGTGTGGTATAAGGGGAGTTAAGTGTACATTTAGTGTGACTCCATATTGGTCAGGTGCCGGTTGTTATGGTACTAAGTTTATGTTTTATATTCGGTTGCTGTGATGTACCGTATACACGGTATGGTTCTTGCTACAGCTAGTACTTAAGTTGTTGAAGTTCATACCTAGCATACTTCAAGTTGTCCATTCGTCTACGTTCAAATGAGATCAATAATATCTACAATATTACAACAATTCTTCTCCCAACACTGGGTATAACTGACGAATTAAACCTTGGTCTGCCTGCACAGCTATGTCCATCCATATACAAGCGACACGGTCAAAGTGTGAAGACAAGAAAAATAAGAAGAATAGAAAAGCAAAACCATATGATGATAACGGAAACGAAAAGGATTTCCTAGCGCCAACGCAGAAAGCTAGCCGACCTACGCCAGAAAGTGATGCTTCATGATTGCCATTAAAAGGTGTTAGGTTGAAGATCAGAAGGAAAACAGTTCGAATCGAACATGGCCCGGAAGGACGAAATTCCAGGCGCCGAAATTTGCTACGAGTGGTATAAGGGTGGGATGGAATGGCCATGAAGGAGGATGGAAGATGAACTAGCAGTTCACGAGGTTGATGTGGTTGTCGTTGAGGGCAGCACACGCCAGCAGGGTGCGGTGAGGGTGGAAGGCCGTGCTGGCAATCGGGGAAGATCGGTTGTGGTGAAGGAAGCTCGAGTAGGGCTCGAAGGTGGATAGATATGTACCATTGATGTTGAACGTCTTGACTTCGTGTCGGTTGGTACCCCTATTCACACAAGTCAGCAAATCTGCTTAGCCATATTTGACAAGAGCCACGTACACCATGAACACAGGGGCGTGTTCGTGCACGCTCAATGTGCGAAGCGTATCCTTGGTCGCCGAAAATGTTGAAAATGGCGTGTCCATTCGAAGATCCCATAGTCGAATCTCGCCATTTCGGCTACCAGACACCAGTTCTCTCAATCCACCGCGTTGCATATGGACGTTGGTAATCCACTGCTTGTGCTCGCGCCAGACCTTAACCATGGAGGTTGTCGGCTTGAGACGCTGATCAAACACTCGAACAGCGCCATCGCCAAATCCTGCCACGAAGATATTTCCTGCAACCTGATCCGACGTCAAAGAAGTGATACACGAGCCGGACCTTGCGGGAATATCCTATGCAATAGTCAGAAGAGTGTTCCCATCCTCAATATGTGGAAACATACGTTAGTGCACACTTCGGTGGCTGCATTCCACACACGAATGACCTTGACGTCTCCTGCGACCAACGCTTTGCCCTGACCCTGCTGCCAGTCGAGGACCAGGCCGGCATTCCGATTACTGGGGATCAGTTCCGGTAGTGCCCTGAAAGATGTAACGATCTCCACCTTTTTGGCGGACTCATAGTTCCTAAACACTTTCAGTACGCCATCGGAGGAGCCCGTCATCAAAAGTGCTTGATCGTCTTCATTAATATATCGCACTTCGTTGATTTTCGACCCTGCTGGATTGCCATTAGAGAAGCGGTTGAGACGTTTGTGGCTCTGCCAGTCCCATATCCTATTTGGTGTTAGCGGAGAAAAGCACGGCTGATCCTAAGCACATACGCAATCGTATCCCTGTCGTCCGCAACTGCGAGATGATCCTCAAACTGGTGGAAGCACATCTTCAAGGGCTGGCTGCTGTTAGATAAGAGAGACAATGAGTTATCCCATCGGCTACTGCCGGCTACTCCCTTCAGGGGTTGGGTCTCCGAAATGATCTTTTCGTTGCGACTCCGTCTCCAAAGGCGTTCGTTGTAATCCGCACTACCGGGCTCGTCGGGCTCATTGGGTTTCATCTGGGGTTCCCGGAAATACTGAAGAAGGGTAAGAAGTTGCTCATACTCAATCTGGTTTTCCGCGCTTATTGCATCAAGGAGTTCTGGGATTACCTCTGTGGACCAATCTAGGAATCTGCTCATCAAGGGGATCGTCGGGACAGCAGTGGGATCTCTGGGTTCAAAGCCTCGTGAAGTAGGGGTCGGGGCCTGGTGATACGCAGTCGCGGGAGCGACTTGGTCGTTGACCTCTGGGGGCCGCGTCCATTCGGGAGGGGCTCGTCCTCTGGGTGTCATGGGAACTCGGCTTTTTGGGGCTGTTGACGTCTGCTGCGACTGCGCATCGGCCGCGGATGAACTGCCAAACGCCAAATTCTTAAGCGATGCAGCGACACTCGCCGTTCGTTTTAGGCTTAGTGAAAGGTAACCTTCTTGTTTCGGCGGTGCAGCGGAAGGAGGAGTCGGCGGTGGCGCCGTCTTCTTTGACTCTGGCCTTTCTCGGACCTGAAACTTCTGGGATACACGATTCGAGAGATCCAAAATCTCATTGCGAACCTTGTTGGTTAGCGTCGCCATAGGGGATTGAAGAAGACAGATGTGGATGTAGTCGACCACCATGGCCGCATCTTGGGCAATGTCAGGATGAGGATCAACAGAAAGGATTAGTAGTTGTTTCCAAATAGTACCAAAAGTCGTATTCCGGGACAATATCTGCGACCTATGGTTGGGATCCGCGGAGCCATTCGCTGAGATATTCGGCACATCCTCTAAGGAAAGACTCCGAGTGCCATCTTGTTCCAGTTTCAACAGGAGGTTCTGCTTCTCGTCCTGGAATTCCTCGTAGGCAGCAACCAGAAACTTGTTCTGGTAGCGCCTCACGAACGTTGAGAAGAAGACCAGGAGTTCTTTCCTCACCAGGACACTGCCGTCTGATGCCATAGGTAGCACCGTCATAGCCAGAGACTCTTCTATTTGGGCAACCTGGTCTGTCAAATCAGGGATACCCAAGAAAGTCGTTACTGCATGGAGCATTGCAGCGCGGACCTCGGGGACCGGATCGAAATTAAGCTCGCAAAGCCTTGCAGGAGCAGCGCAACGAATGCCCATCCACTTGGCTTCAGGGAAGTCAGACCACAACATGCTGATACAGAGACACGACCATTGCCGCAACAGGGGGTTTTCAACATCCATGAGGTGCTTAAGGCAGGAGTCAAAGAGCTCAGCAGAAAGGCACACGTTCTGGCCTTGAGGGTAATTCTTGCAAAATATCGAGACAATGAACGCACACATCGCTCGATGTTCGCTAGCATTGCCCACGGGAATTGGCGAGGAAGGGTTGAGGATGGAAATGAAGTAATGGATTCCGTTGTCCTTCAACAAATCGTTCTGGACTGTATGATCGACGGCCATGATCCTTGCCCAGATGAAGACCATCACGGGCTTCAGTTCTTGGGCGGCGGACTGCAGGAGCTTTACGACATATGGGAATATCCCGATGCTCAGAGCCAGATGGACAGCCCAAGGTCCTAGATCCAGGAATTTGCTAAGCAATATCAGCGCCCTGAGTCGATGCGCTTGACTGAGAAGGACCTGTAGCACAATCGGAAGCTGATCCGGGGGATTCTTTTCCGTTGGACCTGACGACAAGTAAACCTCAAATGCCGTAAGCTGCTCGGCAAAGAATGTCGAATGCTGATACTCATATTGCCTGCGGCCCTCCTCGTGGTCAATGAGAGC